TGACTTGGTATTGAAAAATCATATAGTACATAAAAATGGTAAGATCCAGAAATTTGACCTGGATGAGATTATCCTTCTTGCTAAAAGCACGAAACTTCTCCAGCTTTTTGGCTGCCAGCCACATAAATAAGCTTCTCATAATTCTTCCTAAAAGTCAATCGTCATTCATTTCTTTAACCTTTAAGACTAACATCCACCTTTTCTTCCGTTTCAGCTTAGTCTGTTTGTGTGGCCTATACGTAAAGCAGAAAGAGATTGAAATAGGTATTGGTATCAGCCTAATCCACTCCTTCTACATTAGATCTTTGCTTCCTGTTCTTTGTTTCTGAAGATGATTAGAATTCTTGTTCTTTACTCAATTTATGGATTAAGCAATCTCTCAGTGTTACTTCCTTGTCTCCAGATTTCAGAGGAGGCTTCATTTCCTTTTGCAGTATGCTTCAAGTGCTTCATGAATAGCACAGTGTAACTACTGCTAATAACAACTCAAACTTATTAAATCTGAAGTAACTCAAAGTGGCTCTCAGTGATTTACTCATACCAAGTCTCTACCAGCAGGCCTGGTAAAAGGACTGATGATTTTGTTCATCTGAAAGAAAATAAACTCTGCCCAAAAAGAGAGGGTCAATGTCGAACAAAGGAAACCTCGGAGCTAGACACCAAATGGGGAAAGGGGAGTAATAAAGAAGATCAATCTGCAGTTACTTAAAACCTTTGCTGAGCCCCTTCTATGCACAGGATTTCTTCAAATATTACAAACTACAACAAACTGAGCTGTAATTAGGAATTCAGACACTACCTACTAAATATAAAATATTTTAATCCTGTACCTTAGCTACTATCACTGGCTCATGCAGTAGTATTGTTTGAAATAGGGCATAAAAGGAGGGAAATATAACCACAGAGAGAAAAGGGGTACAATTAATTTCAATTACATTACAGTATTGCATTCGTCTTTGTTCAGGCAGAGAACATTATTCAGAAAGGTGCAAACAGGGCAATTTTTCTCATTTTGAATGGGAGCCAAGAGACAAATTGTCAATTACTACCAAAAGGGAGTATTCTGACTGAACGGGTGATCATGTAGGGAAAGCTCAGTGGTACTGGGTGCTGTACAAGCACATAGCAAGTGACATGCAGAAGGTTAGTGCTGCACAAAGAATAGGAAGAGTAATGACAGTACCTTAGTGATATGACTGTGGACAGCCACTGCATGACACTTCTGCAGCTGCTCTGTGCATGCAGTTACCAATGCCTGTTTTTCCTGCAGTAATCACATTTGAAATAAGAGCAACTAAGTTGCCTGTAATGGTAAATGCATTTCACTGCGACATTATGAGACGTGCCTCTAAATGTGGAATAAAAGGAAGCCTGCATACAAATGATCAGTATGCAGCACTCTTTGTCACGATATGAACTTGAGTGCCTGAATTTTAATTCAAATATGATGAAAAATTGTGACCCAAGGAACTTTGTACATTAAATTAGGAATAACTTAGGGACAAATTCATCCCTTATGCAAGTCCTCCACAAAATAACTGACTTTAAATTGGATTAATCCCCATGTCTCTTTTTAGGTAAATGACTACAAACTTATGGAGTTTATGCATTAAGCTTTTCCAGCTGAGACTGGCAAGAGCTCTGGTAATACACAATACTTTAGGGACAGCAGAGCAAGTGTTTATTTCAAGACATACAAAGATTAAATTTCATTATTCTGTAGTATGCTGGGTTTCACTGAAACACAGCTGCTACTTTACCAATGCTACAGCTATTTTGAGGGAAATAAACTGCTCTATTTCTGTTATTTATACATCAGCATACACAATTTTTTATGCATATACATACGTTTGTACAGATACTACATGCACACATCTCTTCCATACCATAAAGAAAACCAACTAGATCTACCAAAAAGTTAATTGAGTTAAATCTTCAATAAAAGAGCAATACTTTATCTCAGATTCTGCACACCTTATCATTAACTTCAAAAACAAATATAATTTTGACAAGCAATATGGTATATTTCTTCAGTATTTTACAGTCCTTTCAAGATCCTTATGGCATATCATCTCCATTTAGTGGATGAGGAAGGAAAGCAGAGAGGTGAGATGTTCAGGGATATAGAGGAAGTCAGTAACATACTAAGGACTAAAACACAGTTGTGCTAATGTTTCCAAACCCTGAAATTCTAAATGCAGACAAACAATCCTAGCAATAACCAAGGTAATCATCACATTAGTACCCCTGTTTCAAATATACATGCCTACTGGGAAGTGCTGGACACTTCTGGTTGCCAGCCAGTAAACTTTCCCCCTCCTCAGCGTGAACTCTGATCCTGTGCCAGTTCACTTACCCATGCTTATCATTTTGCTGTCTGATGAGTGCAGAACAATTGCCTTTGGAGCACTGGTTAGCCAGAGCCGGAAGAACCGTTTGCCTCCAGCCCAGCTGTCGGAGTCTCCATGCAAGATGCTGTGCAAAATGTTGAGTTAAAAGAAAACACGAGTAGGGGGAAAAGAGAGCTCTCTGAGAACCTCCACATGGTTCCTGTTGCTAAGGGAACCACTCCCTTTGTCTGCATAGGTTAGGAATGGCTGCTTCGTTTGGAGTCTGTCTCTTAAGTACCGCAAACAGCACAACAATTTCAGGATGAAATAAAGCCAACCCTCCAGAATATCTTATACCAAAGAAACACTGAACTGCCTCAGAATTCTTACATTAAATCCAGCTATTAATAGTTGATTTGGATGACTCCAAGGAGACTGTAGAACTCATCTGTGCCATCTGATGGGACAACAGACCACTGCATCAGTTTAATTTAGTTACTGTAATCAGCTTTTGGGATAAAGGTAGCTGATTACAGAAATCTTGATCTATTTTAATCAAGAAACCAGATCCAATTTACTACATCAAGTGGAGAGAGACTAATAGCAAGAAATATAAGTTTTCAATAGGTACTCATGTCTGACTCTGGAAGAGAGATGCCTTTACTTCCTGTAAAAACCCAAGCCTGACTTTTTAGCTCTGTGCTCTGTGGCTGCTCTCCCCTGCTGCCTCTTGTGCCCCAGGCCCAGCACTGCACTGGCCATGTTCCTGAACCCACAAATATTGGAGAATTCTACATTCTGCAGAGGCCAGTTGGTCTCAGTCCAATTCAGCATATGGAGTTAGGAATCCCTGCTTGTTATCTTTGTCCATCCCTGGGTTTAATGAATGTACCTGGATGTGTATTTTGGATATGGGTGGTTTCACTGAATGTCTGAGGTCCTACAACAGGAAGAACTTATAGAAATTGTCATGGAGGTCAGTATGTTGGGAACAGAAACACCTTGAGTCTACCCTCTTCATGCAAACTTTTTGTTTGCATTTTTGTTTTTCCATTTGTTTGCATTAAGAACATCAGCCTCATTATGCACAACATGCATTACACAACACAATCATATCCCACTGTCTCTTTCAGGTGACACCAAAAATGCCATCCCAAAATACGAGTGTATTTTTTCCTATGGAATTATCTGTTCCAATACCTTAAGATTATGGGGTAGAAATGGTCAAAGGCTTCGATCCAGATCCAAATTTTCAAGCATAGACTTACCTGAGTCCCTTAACAAATCAAGAGAACAATCAGAAAAATACGGTACATTATGTCAGGATGAACAGGCAAAAGTTCAGGATCTCAGATGATGCACTTCTGTATGGAAATCAGATTTTTCTCATTCCACCAGAGAGCAGCTGTGAGTGCCTGCAACAGTGGAGAGAGGTCAGACCTAGTTCAGGCTTACAGCAAGTAAAGAGCAGAGCTTCACTTCAAGCAAGGAAGTTGCTGTGGAAGGTCAGTGCCAGTGTTCCTCTATTTTCCAGAGGGCTGAGTTGGTATTTTTTCCCCTTGGTCAGACTTTTGCTCTTAGAGAACACTACGTCAGATAACAGTATGTCTTTGCTTACACACCACAGTCCAGCACTGATTCTTTGACATAAAGACCTGAAGAATTCAGCTGTCACTTCATTGCACATGTTGAATTGTATTTGCAGCATGATACGCCTTGCACCCCCCCTCCCTTCTTCCTCTCACCCCAATGAGTCAAATAAAGCAGTCAAGATTGCTTTGTAGAGAGGCCCTTCTGCTCTCCTTTACAGAAAGATTAGGAGATTCAAGAGGGCAACAGGGAGTTCAATTTAGGGACATTAGAAAGCAGCTGGTAACATGCACGTTTCTGTTGCATTATTTTTAGCAAGGAACAATTAATAGCAAACCAATTTAAAAGTTTGTGATTTTATTTCTTAATTTCTTTTCACAGGATTGATTTGAATTGCTCAATCCTGCTGTTTGTGTTTGTATACACGCCATCCTATTTCCTCCTCCTCATGGATAGACTGATGATGTCAAGGTAAATGCAAGTGAAGTATCATGCCATTCTGTGCAGCCACAGTGAGGAAGACAACAGCTTTTAGGACAATTCTGAAATTGGCAGATTTTTTTCTGTCAATAAATTCTTACTTTCTTCTGCTGCTTGCAATCCACAGAGCCTTCTTCAGCACTATCACAACGAAAGGGCAAACCCATGTACATTCAAAGTTAGCTCCCAGCATAATAAAAACTTCAACACCCTAAATTAATGCTTAGTGGCTCTAACTGCATTTTATGTAAGCCTGCTGCAAGTATTTATGTACATAATGCTATCATTAATACCGAAGTATTTTGCTGATCATTCCCATTTTATCACTTGAGAATGTGAAGACATTGAGAGCAATTTCAGATCACATTACAGTTTTGTGAAAGAGCCAGGGGCAGCATCAATGCAGCCTCCTGCTCTACCACACGTTGTGCCCCACAAAAAAAAAAAGAACATATAATGTTTTTCCCCTTATCTTGAATAACAAAGATGTTCTTTCTATTGTAAAACAGAAATTTTAGTTATCTTCTACAGGGCATTTGATATTTTCCTATTATTCCAAAAGCAACATATTTTTGACAGGCTGGCTGTGAGGCTCAGGCCTCACAACACCAATTTACACAGAAGTGGAGTTCTGGTCAGGAGCCTTTCTTGGTAAGTAAGAAATAGTAAGAACTTTATCTAGTACTATAAACCCCAGCTTCTCAAAAGCTCCATTGAAAAATTAACTGCTTCAAGTACTGATCTCCTAAAGAGTTTGACTTTGTTATGCTAATCCAAGGTATTAAGAATAATCAGAAAAGGAATTCATTATTGGCTACTTGAATCAACTGCTTTTTGTCTCCAATGTGAACACATCCCCCCAGTCAGAAATTACCTAACACAGTGTGATTGAACTTTATTTATTTACTTACATATAATAAGCGACTGAGCAGCTTGCAGTGCATGAAGTGAAGCTATGGAAAAGTACATTACAGAGCTCCTGCTTCAGGGACCTCTCAGTCAGGATTTCAGTATATGTGCCTATTTTCTGTTTATTATTCAGCCAAAAACATTGAAACTCTCTATCCCCTCAGTCCACAGACTAAAACTTAGTGACCAAGAAAAGACTGTCTGCCCTATATGTCTCAAGAGGACTTTTTAAAACAAGTATTTACAAAACTCTAAAAATATCATCTTCTTTTGTTAAGGGTAAGTGTGTAAACACCTTACCTGTTACAAATATAGACCTTATGGAATGGAAAAGAGAAGCAGATGGAGCTCTTGATAGCCTCAATGACAATAGTGCAACATACATCTGCACAGGAACCAGTATTTTCCTCATAAGGAAAATTCTTCATCTTCCCCACTTTTTTTTTCAGTTGCAACTTGGAATTAAAATTCCTACATGAGAAATTTTCCATAGGAGGGTCATATTTAAAAGACCCTCTATGTAAAAAACCCTCTACTTTGAATGAACTGACATGGATTTAAATGACCTGTGAGAGTATGTGTATGGTCGTATGTGCATGTATAAGGTTTCTTGTCCACTTTCGTGAGCCCAGACTCCCATCCTTTGTGGCAGTCTGCCAAACAGGCCAAGAACGTGAAGAAACTTGACTTTCTGGCACCATTCCACGTGAGATGCCGGGGAGCTGAGAGCTGGGAAAAGCGGGTGAGCTGGCAGGAAACCAAACACATTTCCATCAAAAATTTCATTGGAATAGACATTTTCATGCAACGTGTTAGGTTTTGGTGAACCAGCATTAGCTGAGAGAAAAATGTTCCACTGGAAAGTTTCCAACTTGTCCTAGTGCTAAGATCTTGACACTTGGACCTCCTATTTTTCATTCAACTGAAAAATGGATTTCTATTTCCCAGTGGTCATGCACAGAGGTAGAATATAGTTTGTTGTACTACCGATTGTCTGAAGTTATTTGTCTTGTTACTGAGAAAGAAGCTTTATTTTGGCTGTTCTCTCGAGCCTGAATGTTTTTTTGCAGCCCTCCCACCCCTCAGTTCCTTTCATCTGTGTGGATCACAACACAGAGTGTCAGTAGAAGAAGGGCTCAGTGGTGAGAGAGCTAGTTTGTACTCAGAGGCAGATTATAATATACATCTTGGAACAAGAACCTTGTATGAATTCAGTAGGGGAAACAGTACATCTCCACCTTGCAGTATTACTAAAATTAATATATAGGGATTATAATAATGGACCCTAACAGTTCTGGAAATATATAAAATAACTTCAACTGCTTCAACTGCAGAAATCTCTTAAAAATAAAGTATCCTGAGCAAAGATGTCACGAAGTTGTGGCAGAAATCAGAGGTAGAGAAAGCTTCAGCACTGGGTGAACAGTCAGCCATGTATTAGCTGCACATACAACACACCCACACACACTTCAGGTATTTGATTTCAGAGATTTTTAAGGTGAAACTGTATATGAAAGCTTAATTTAGCCCACGTGTTCCAGCACTCCTTTTAATTATTGTATTTACTTAGTTAAATCTGCTCATTCCCTCTCCCCTTTATTATTCCCCAAATCAGAAGCTGAAAGCCCTACTGTGTCCATATGGTCTTCTGCAGGGTTTTCTTCCCTAGATTTTCTCCTTTGTCTGAAATATAATTCCAGCTAACAAAAGTTACTGTCTCCTCTACAAGCCTTGCTTCAGATATTCATGGATCATTATGGACACCAACCAATTATTCCAGCATGGCCTTTCTGCAAATCTGTTTATTTTTCCATTTTCTCAAGGTAGCAAGTTGAACATGAGTGAGCTTCTGTACATGAATTAATAATAGAAGAAAAGACAAAACACTAAGCTCTGCTCTCAGGTACATACAGATTTTTTTCAGTTCAATCTCATGTTTCTGTGGGAATACTTCATTGACCCTACTTCAAACACTCAAACTGCATTCAGCAGGCAGGAGTTGTGTATCATTACTAAAATATTAGATCATGTAAAAAACCCCACTCATGTACTGAACAGGGTTCTTAAAACAAGGGAGGGCCAGACAAGAGGTGCGATGCTTGCTTCAGTACAGGGGCTTTGAGAGTCAGGATGGTGCAGGTATTGCAGAAACTGGAAAGTAACACCTGGATATCACTTCAACTAGTGAAAAGGATGGTTAATGTAGTGCTTACTACTGCCTAATAATAGGGAAAAAAGCATATATGTAGCTATCAAAATTCCAGGGATGTTCCTGGATATTTCTCAAGTCCGGCTAACAGCCTACACAGAAAAGAGCTGCTATTTGAGCAGTTCTATTCTGCTGCCTCTAATTGGTCTTCAGAAACTTTTGTATAATTAATTTTCTGCTTCTATTATACTTGAGAAATATCTGTTTGCTCCATCTGCATTTAGGATAGTTTTATTTTGCTGCAGAAACAGTTCTAGTTACTCAATGAAGTAAAACTGAGAGGGGGGTTAGGAAACCAATCACAGATAGCAATGGATGGCGGCAAGAAAATCATTCTTTCCAAGTTCATTCTTAAGAACTAACAGCAGAAACAACTATATGAGCCCTTGGCTAAACCACCAGTTTTCTGTTAATTCATGTTTTGTCTTATTTTTCTTTCTGCAAGTAGTCTTGCATCAAAATGTTTATGGAGGAAATAAATAGCTTTTGCACTGAGGTTGGACAGAATCCTGGTCTATAACTAGGACACTAATTTCTATGAAAGTAGCTGATTATAACCATACTACTTCAGGAATTTTGCAATCTGTCTTTGCAATAGCACTTCATAAGGAGGTAAAACCATGTAATGTTTTAAAAAACATTAAAGTTTTTGTAAGTAAGTGCTTGGCAGGTACTTTTAGAATGAAATTCTGTCATTTTTCTGTTCAGACCAAATTATTCTACTGGTGCATATATACATTAAGGTTTCTTAAAACCTAAATAGTATTTTAGAACTTAACATCTAATTAAACTTAACACATAAGATTCAATAAAGGTTCATCTTAATCAAGCTGCACATGTGAATTTTCTGAGTTTATTTGAAAACTTGAACCAAATTCAGCTTTGTCACTGGTGGGATACTGCAAATTTGGACAGTTTCTGCATGCGTAGGTTTTGTACCTGCCTCTCAGAACACTTATTTATATTATGCCCCATTCAGGAAGTGATCTCACTGGAAAATCTGAGCAAACAGTAGGACAGAAGTTCCAGACTCAAAAAGCTAAAGAATGTTCTTTTCTCCCCCTTCGTCTTCTTTTAAATGAATTTAGTGCTTGTGAAAAAAATTACATTGACAACCCTGAAGACCAAGGGTTACTGTGTGTGCACAAGGACACAGCCATTCCCAGAGCCTTGGCTTCACTCTGATGTACTTTCAATCTGTGTTGCTAGTTTAACTTATCATCTTGAGAATTAATAGGACTTCACTCAAAGGTAGTGAAGAAATAAAGCACAGATTTCTTAAGCCTGAGGCTAAACGTCTATATACCCATATAGACAGTTTATTAATGCAGTAAGTAATCACCTAAGCTTTTAAGTTCTCAGAAACTGAACAACCTGTTCTCAACTGAGTAATTCTTACTACTTGTATGGTAGACATATTCATCAGTCACTAGTGCTCTCAACTTGGAGCAAGGGCATCAACTTTGAACTAAAGCCGGCATTAAACATATCCCTATAGAATTGCTGTCTTGCTTTTCTCTACTAATACTGAAATAAGTACTACTGAAATAACAAAATATCAGTCAATCTTTCACTCTTTACAGTAGACAAAACCCCAACACTAGACATATTACAGAAAGTCTAAAGGAGGCCTAAGGCAGAGTTAATTCAACTTCACGTCTCCATTTTACTTTCCAGAAATTTTTTATCCTATTTGGAAGAGTAACTCGCCTCACTTTCAAAAGTGTGAAACTTCTCTATCTCCATTTCAAGTAGGGGTCCATATTTCTGGACTGTGTAGCTCCTTTCCTCAGGTACAGTTGGCAAAATTGGCTCCACTAAGGAAGATACTTTCCTGTCCACTGCTGATCTCTAGGAATCTTGGTATACTCATATTAATCATGGAAGTCTTCTAAATCTTAATTATACTCATTATTTTCTATTTTAAATTCTTAATTCTGCTCCTTCCATCTATACATTTAAGCAGTATTCATACCAATCCCTTGCAAGAGAAACAGAATAATTGTTTGCAATTTTTTAAAGAGCAAGTTTGGCCATAAGAGACACTGGCAGAACTGAAGAAGGAAAAGCATTAAAGGAGAACAAAGGAATGAAAACAACCAAAGGAATGGAACACCCAAAGAGGGCAGGACCAATTAATTTCCAATTAATTTCTTACCACAACAAAATAGAATGTATTCCATGCCTGCTGAAAGTAATGGGAATCTATCAAAGAAAGTCTTTGCACAGGATTAGGAAAGCACAAATCAGACCTGTGGATACGTGTTACTCATTATCCCAAAATGTACTTAAATGACTTCAGCAACTGTTCGCTGCCTCCACTTGACAATGATGTGCATCTTACACTTCCCCTAACAAGAGATGACTTTGGATTTGTTCTCTCTGCTGTTAATTTCTGCTCTTTATAAAATACAGATATAGAAAGTTATGCCACCCACTTGCAGCAAATTTAAATTTCTAAACAACAGCAAAGTTCAGTGATAGCATCATTAGTGAGACTGCTGGAGTGTACTTAATTATTACAAAGAGCAAGTCTCTCATGTTATATTTAAGTTTAAATATAGATACAGACACACACAGACATTCAGACTAAATTTACTGTACTGTACCTGATTTCTCTTCGCTATACCTATTTTCTGTGCTATTACTGAGAGCATTTCAAACGCACATATCTGTTGCGACACCTCTGGATATCATCATTATTATGTTCCTTCATGCCCTTCAGTGAGACTGGCTCACTTCCATCTCTTCTATTGTTACGAAGAAGTAAACAGTAGCTACAAAGCTGTCAATACATTGGATTTCTTTTTCTCCTGCATGTGATTAATCCCTTGATCTATATGCCCGCAACAGCTTGTTCTATCATCCAGGTCACACTCATATTTTACAGGAACTCTTTGTTAATTTATACCTGGTGCTTGTGTTCTTTTTACTTTGATTAAGCCAGACGAACAAAATAAAACAACTATATTTAATCCAATAGTTATGACAAATTCCTCAAAAGTAGCAGTTTCAGAGAAGCAGGCTGTGGGTGTCACTTAGCACACACAGATAACACTCCTTTCTGAGTCTCATAAAGGCCAAAAGAACTTCTAAAATTGAACTTCACCCACTCGAATCAAAATGCCACTCAACTGCTGATTGAAATATCCTTCATTCAAATCAGAGTGAGTGCCTTTAATGGCTACCCAAATGGCTGTCAAATTAAATAAGAAACAAAATGCAAATAAATTAGCATTCCTAGCTACTGATACACTATAAATATTTATGAGGAAAAAAAGATGCTGTAATTTCAAATGATACCACAGGCCTATTTTGTACAAACAGTTAAAACAGTTATACATGCAATACTGTACTTTGCAATTTTTTTTCCATTTCACATCACCATAATCACCTAATAAATATTTAAATGGACCCATTTGCTGTAACTATAAAAGAACCGTGTAAACTTGTTGTCATCTAGACACATAAGCCGCAGTGGAGTCAATGAATTTCAACAGTCACTTAATATTGCAAGCCACAAGCTACCTTAAACCTGCCAGCAACTGTCTGCCAGGAAGCTACTGTAGCACCACGGCTACCTCCTCCAGCCCAGGACACGAGATTCATTATGAATGCTTGCATTGCTACTCTAATTAGGCCTGGGAGAGGTTTAACAACCATGCTACAGTCTTGCTGCTGACAAATATAAAAATAAAGCCTTGTTCAAATTAGCAATGTGAAGTGAGAAGGCCTAGAAGCAGCAACTGTCTGACCAGTAGTGAAACAGTTCTAATCTATAGTGAGGTTATTTTGCTTCATAAACTGCTAGTATGTTACCTGCAGGAGGTCTCCCTGTAAAATGAATTATAGTAAGCTATATGTGATAATTAACCGTGCATTAGCAAATATCTTGAAACAGGGGGGCTCTGTTTTCTCTGTATTTTGACTAATAAAAGCATGAATTTGTTCAACAAATGATCA